GGACAGGCAACCCAACAGTGAGCTAACTGGTATAGTATACCTATGATGCATGCCGTTTTGCTTCCCTATCCCCACTACTTTAGTGCTGGTTATTGGTGCTGGGCAAGTATGCTGAGCTATATATAGCCACAGCACCAGAGTAAGGAAAAGTTTAGGAAATATATTCTAGCCCAAACCTTTGTGATTGTAGTGAGATTACTTTGTAAATATTCAATCTGAATGTTGTATCTCTACATTAACTAAGAACCCAGAAACCCGACTACTAGTAAGCTTTGAAGAGTGTGTCTAATAACAAGACAGTCAAGTATTATCTTATTGAATGGCCTTAGTAATTACCTGCATTGGCAAAACCAGTCAACAGGTGTTTTTAAAGGTTTATTTGAAATGCTAGGGATTTGTGTATTCTAGGCACGTGTACTGCCACCGAGCATTCCTCTCTACCTTGTCAAGCTTTCTGAAGTGTGAATAGGTTTTGCTAGCTATACCCTTCCTGACTGACTGCTGTTCCTGATCATCCCAGGCCAGAATGTAAAAGCTCCTTTAAAATAAAGGTTTACCTCTATATGTCCATTAAGTCATACTACTATTAAAACAGTCTGTCACTTTAGTCCAAAGTGTGGTTGGGTATGATGTCTTATCTGGTAGTCACTTATCCATGGTCAAAAGTCTGTAGAGGCAATATCTGCTAGTTTTTTTTTTTTAATAGATTTATGCGAGTGTGTGTGTCAGTGCCTTTGAGCATGTCAGAGTGTAAATGCCCATTCAATCTAGGCAAGGACATTAGATCTCTTAAGAACTGGAATTGGAACTCCTGCCTTTAATTTTGCTGTTTTTTAAGCAAAATATCGTAGCTTGCATTGGGTGAAAGTTTACAACACATGGATTATAATTGCTCTTTCTAAAATTTAGTAATGTCTTATTTGTTGAAATTTAATTTCATACACATAAAAATCTGTAAACTCCAAGTCAATTTATTTGAATAGGATTTTGCCAGGTACTAAATGCTTCTAGCTAGTGAGTACCAAGTGAGACAATTTTTTTAATTTTTCCCTATATTTTTGGGTACACATAAAGATTCTTTTATATTTTGAATCTACAGAGATTTAATATTAGGTTTGGTGGCAGTTTGTGTCGAAGTTCTTGACGGGGCTCTTTTAATAATTCAGCATTTAGTAATGAATAAAAAATTTAGACTTAATAAGGCGTGTGGTAGTGTTATCCCATTACATACATGAAAATGCTTAGATCTCCATGATTTGTGAATTTAAAGATAGACAGGCAATTTGATGAGATTTGAGTGTTTTTCTTTTCTAGAGACAGTCCTCAGGATTGAAACTGGGCACCTCCAGCCTTGGTTTTTTGAGCGGCTTATAGATGAGCACTACTGTAACTGGCAGCTCTTTTACATATTTCTGAATTTCAGAATTTTTATTGGTTTCAGCTTGATTTCATATACCCCTTTAAGTGTATTTATGAAGGATTTCCTTGTGTGTTAACTTTGCTGTGTGGAAGACCTGACCAGTTCATTGCCCTTTTGTCGACGTCAAGTTGGGATAGTAAATCATAATCTCAGTTATGTAGTATGTGCCTCAATTACTGTGTTTTGTTTGTAACAGTTTATTATGCCTTCAAAAGCCTGTGATACTTTATCACTATATCAGAAAGAATCTTGGTTAATTTTTATTAGTATTGATAGGTATAGCTTCCATGCATCTCATTTTAAAAGGTATGGGGTAGAGGCAATCTTTTCCAAAGTAGAGGACATTTCCAGTAAACTTGACTGCGAAGCTTTACCAGCACTTTGTAGTTAGAGGAGAGCATGGATGCTTTCTTTTTTTCAGCTTCATCGGTCACTTGATTGAGAGTTAAGTACAGTTTTAAAGTAATCACCTCCCTGAGAAAGGTGGAAGAGATAGAAACACGCTAATTTTCTGATTACAGGAACTAAACCTAAAAGTTGAGTTGTCCAAGCTTGAGGGAAACCAATGTTTACTGCAGTTTTGAGGGAACACAAATTGGTCAGAAGTCTTTGTTGTGATGGAATAGTTATTTCTGCTTCTATGTGAATATTAGTGACAGGGGTAATTAGGAAATGAATTATTAACAGGGTCTTTAAGTATCTAAGGTACTTATACAGTTTTTAAATACAGGGTTGCAGTCTGTTCCTGGCTGGCCAGGAACTATGTAAACAAAGACCATCTATGCTGGGTTGAGTTGTAGGATTAAAAGCATGAGCCACTGCACTGGACTTGGTATTCTAGTGAAAATACTCTTGAGGGTTTGTGAGAGGTTTATGAGATCAGTTGTCTAGAGTTAATGGATATCCATTTTCTGAAACAGTAACCACAAAGTAGTTTTGATAACTAGAGTGAAAAAAAAGACTTTTTTTTACTGACTTTGAAAAGCTTTTTCGTGGCACAAAATTAAGACATGTCTTTTTGACTTAAATAACTTAAGCCATACTTCAAAATATAGAAGTTGGGTAAAATTAGGAGGGGGGGGAATCTTAGTTAAATTGTGTTTAAAAGGCATGCTAGGGTTGGTGATACTTGAAATTGAGTTATAAGTAATAAGCAGAAGGCTAGTTTTGTTACATAGCAAGGACCTAACTTCAAAGCCAGCTTTCCACATCTCCCAAGGAAAAAAGCATGGTTTATTTTATCAGTGTGATAAGTTTGGTTTTGTCAGCTTGTCACAAGCAGAGTTGTCTGGGAAGAGGGGAATTGCTCATGTTAGTCAGATCTATGGTGACATTTTCTTGGTTAATGATTGGTGTGGAACTGTCATGCCTGTATTCCTAGGTTGTATTTAAAAAAAAAAAAAGCTGAGCATGCCAGTGAACAGTTTCATGGTGTCTTGCTTCAGTTCCTGCCTCTAGGGTCCTGTTCTGACTTTTATTCAGTAATGGGATGAACAGTGATTGGAATATATAAGGCAAACCCTTTACTCTCAAGTTTGCCTTTGGTCAGGGTTTTATCACAGCAACAAAATAAACTAGGATGGTTACAGTGAAATGTTGCTGTGACAGACCAGGCCTTGTTGCTTTGGGGGAAGATTGTGGACATGTTCATAGTTTAATGGGCTGTGTGTGGGAGTTTGGAGTGCTGAGAACACTCCACTTCAGTTACGCCATGGCTTCCTTCAATGCTAGTCCATAATTTATGGTACCAATATAAAGCAGACATAGAGAAGTTGCTTCCAATAGTATTTGAGTCTACCCAGGCAGATCCAGTGTACTTATATGGGCATGTTCACTTAGTGTGGAAAGCACAGGCATTGCATTGTGCTCCCCCCTCCACCAGACTTAACAGGCAGTTCTAAGCCATCCTATGTGGTTATGAGTGTTTTGCATGTTAAGTATGTGCACCGTGCATGCTCTAGTCGTAGAGGAACAGCTACCATCATCTTTGTGTTGGGAGTGGAACCCGTGTCCTTTGCAAGGGCAAATAGCTCTAAACCACTGCTCTGCCCATATTGTATCATCAGTTTTATGCCCTATCTTAATTTTAGGGATATCAGTGTGAAAGGCAAGTCCTACATGCTGCTTGGTAGCACAAGACCACAAGTTTTATTGCCACTACTAGAAAGAAAGTGTAACACAGAAGCCAGTGGCACAGTGCAGTTTAGTTAGCTTTTGTTTAGAATTAAAAATTATATAGAGTCAATTTCCTTGAACCCTACAGTATTTTCATTGTACAGAAACACCAGGTTTCAAAAGACCACCATTTTAACTCATTGTTGAGAAATACTGTGTTCTAACTAAACTGCTCTTGGCTATGTGGATGAAAATTGAGTGCTGACCATTAGAATTTTATTGAATATTGTCCAGATGCTCTGATTAATACTGGCTTATTTGTCTGTCTTCTTTGCTAATATGGTGAAAATACTTAAGTAGTACTTAGTTTGCATTTCTTTAATTACAGTTGACCACAATTATGTACTTCATGTTACCGAAGTGCCGCCTTCCATACTTATCTGTACGAGAGCTTTATTACGGAACCCATTTTCTATTTGTGTTTCATAGTAGTTTTATTGTATGTTTATTTTGGTGTAAGCTGTGAATTCCAACTTGATTCTTTGCATCACTCACATTGAAAAGCCTCCCTTACCTCGTGTTGCCAGGGAATCCAACCCAAGTTCTTAAATGTGTTAGGCTGCTGCTATATCTGTTTTAGTCTGAATTACGTTTCTATTTTAGGGAAGAAGGAAGGTTTTTCTATGAAGCTCTTATCTGAAAATGCTTTATTCTGGTAAAGCTTTCATAAAGAAACTTAAAGTGGACGTGAGTCTGCAAGCTAGGATGAAAACAAACCTTGGGAGGGCTTGCTTGGTCTTTGCTATTGCAACAGGAGGCAACTTTCTGGTGACTCAAGAACAGACTCTACTTAGAACTTTTTTTTTCTTTCTCTAAACCCCTGCTCCAGGACATCATGGGTGAGCTGTAGTCGTAAAGGGAGCTGAAAAATGGTAGGGTTAGAACTAGTGGGGAGAGGGTAAGAGATGGCTTGACGTTCCACTTAACCTGAAAGATAAGAGTAGGACAAAACCCCTGGCTTTTGGGAAATTTCAGGACAGTTGGAAAATTCCTACCTGAACTTGAGGTCTGGACACAGTTTGTCTGACAACTCCTGGATTTCACTCCCACACCTTCAAAATAAAACCAAAACATCCAAGATTTCCCGTGTCCCTTAGTGTTGTACATTGGTATTTCGGTTCATTTATGAATTAAAATGTAGATTGGTGGAATATATTTTAGAATTTAAAAATACCAAGGGATGAAAGACTTGAAACTTGGAGTTTTATCTGAGAGTCAAGCAAATTGTAAAAATTACTTGGGAAAGTTTACCTGTTGCTCTGTCATTTGGTGAGCTCTCTCATAGGGCAAAGTGAGACTGCTTAATGCACCTCAAAAGTGAAAGTCCCTTATGTGGATTTTGTTTGTTCTTTGTAAAGCTTGTGCTAGAATAGCCTGTGGGAAGCAAACAAGCTAAAATGGAGTGGTGACAGATGACATGCACTGTACTGGGAAGACTTTGCCAAGTTGCAGATCAAAGTGACATGGGGAGTCTTGATGAGGGAAAGCATGGAAGAGGCATTGTTGGGGGAACTTTGATAAGATTTCACTATCTTCTGGGGGCTGGGGAGCAGGGAGAAAAGCAGTTGGGTAGGAGAAAACTGAACAATACCGTACGTAACAGGCTGGCTGGCTGGCTTCTGGGAAGGTATCCTTGTCATGGCAATCAACTAAGGACACTTGATGGGTGCAGAGATGCCAAAGCTGATGGCTGGACAGTAGTTAGTAGGGTAGAATAGAAATGTAATGGAAAGCCCAATAATACTCTTCCAGACTTAGTTTCCAGAGTAGCAGGAAGCAGTGATGTTTATGAGCAAGCTGACTAGACTTGCATAGGAAACAAAGGCTGAAAACAGGTGGCAGGACTTGGCTGTATGGACACATTGCTAATTTGGTAGGTTAGGAAAGGAAGTACAGAATTGCAATAGGTAACTTTATTAAATGAAAATACCAAATACAGAAAAGTAGTCACTATAGAGAATAGGATGGGGGTAGAATTAAATTTGGCATTTTAAGAAAAAAGGTTTTGGATCTTTAGTTCCATCTTTTTTGTAAAGAGAATTTTTAGAATGACACTTGACTTACCCAGTGGTGATACAGAAGAGGGGGCGGAGTCAGGTCACAGTTATATATAAAGAAATAAAACAGCAAAGTCCAAGTTCTTGTGGATTGAAATTTTAGACCCAAGGTATCAAAGGCAGCAAGTCCATATGGTGAAACTAGAGACAGCTAGCTTGTCTGCACTGTCCCGATACTACCAAAGATGGTGACCACTGGAGTAATTATATTAATGGGATACACTGACTTTCTAAGCATCAAGCCTCATTACTCATGAGGGAGTCATACCCCATCTTTAACTGATCCAGAGTCAGCCTCTCACCACAGAAGGTGAGTGGGCGAAGAGAACCTGATGCAAAAATGGAAAGAGAGATGTGTTGGTGATCCAGTTCTAAAGAATCAGTTGAAGGGTCCTCATGTGGAGAGAGGTCTTCCATGTTGGAGGGTAAATAGCCTTCATGGCTGGAAAGGTAGTCCACTGGGGCAACTGTCAAGGAATTGGTGAGGTTGCCCAGTTTTGAGTCAGGTTCTCTCCTTCCTAGCATCTTGTATAGATTCACTAGTTGTCTTGTGTCAGCTGTGAGAGTTCCTGTAGGTAGTGGACTGGAGGCAATATATATCGTGTCTTCCTTAGGGGTAGAGTGACTTAGAGTCCCTTGTCTTTTGGGGCAGTAGGGTTGTTTGAAGACTGGGGTCATTTGGTAAAGGACCTCATTGATGATCAGGGGCTCAGGCTCTTCAGGAGTGGGCCAGGCCATCAAGAGATCCATGGATAGATGGGTCTTCTCCTGGGAGAAGGAGAAATGAATATATAGGTTACTTTGACGACTCTGGATTTTCAAAACATCATACCCTGTCCTGTCAGATTCAGGTGAGAACTGGACCTTTAAACTTTGGAGGGGCCAGAGCCAGATACCCATGCCCCATTATCACCATCGCAAACTTCAGTCAAGGACAGACTCATTGTTTAACTTAACATTTAATTAGTCTCTGAATCAAGGTATACCATTTGATTTTTTTTTTTCTTCTAGTGGCAAGGGTATGGAGGCAGAGATGAAAGGCTAGAGGAGAATCTGGAGAGAGGTGGGTTCTCTATTGGAGTTGGTAGGGCAAAATTATTGAGCCTGCTGGTTTGTTGCCCCCCCCCCTTCATTGTTGAGAATCAAACTCCGGATTGTACATGCTAAGGCAAGTGCTTTACTGTTGAGTCACTTCCCCGACCCTGTTAGTACTAGAAAAAGCAGGATTTAGAAATGGGCAAGACTACTCATGAAGGACTTTTATGAAGGACAGCATCCTGGCTAGCCTGGATCTCTGCCTCCCGAGTACAGCATCATCATGCCATTAAGGCCTTTAGGGCATGCTAAGGGGTTTGGGCTTTGATAGAATTAAGTGGTTTCAGATACTGTAATGTTCTTGTCAGACTGGCATTTTAAACATTTGCTGTAACAGGTTTTCATCTTTCCCTTTATTTAGTCTTGATATTTTTTCTCAATTTTCTCAACATTTCTTTGGTCACTAGCACTACCTTGTCTTTTTTTCCTTTATATTTTACTGCCAGTTTTCAAGTTCAAGTCCTTGGCAATTGATTAACATTTCTCCTACCAGGCTTTACAGCTCTTCTTACATCTTACTCTTTCTGCACAGTTTGCCTGGGCTTCCCAAGGTAGAGCTCCATGCCGTTACACTTAGGCCTATATCAAAGGATTTCAGCCCCTAGTCCTCCTTTGCATCTGTCCCACTTCCACATAGTTTCTTCTCAGTGTCACCCACACGTGAGCTGTCTGGCAAGTTCTGAGGATGAGTCCCAGCTTTGATAGTCGTGGGAAATTTTGATCAATCTCTCTCTTTCCCTGGTTTTCTCATTTAATAAATGACATGTGGCACAAGAGGGTCTTGGTATAATTAGCCTCTGATTTGGCCACTTTGGGGGGCATGGTATGTGTCGATAGGAGCGATGAGATTGAAAAGTTCCATCAATGGCTTCCATAGTTTCTTTTAAAAGTCAGTCCTCCCCTGGTCATCCTCAAGCTGGTCCTGGCATGTAGGTTTGCCTTGGAACATTCATGTATGCATGGCAGCTGTGCCAAAGCAAGGCTGCCACATTTGGGAGAGATTAACAGGATGGGAGAAACTTTTTTACTAGTTCTGCTGCTGGGGCAGTACTGACAGACTACTCCCCCGCACATTCTTGGAGCTGGCTTCTAGAATGTCAGGGAAGGATCCTTTAACCTCATGGTTCAGGAACACCATGGGCACCAATTTTAGTTTGTATAAGACAGCATTCCAGTGATCCTCTCTATAGTGTGGTCTTTTCCTTCAGAGTGTTAAGGTATATCTTTATTTCTAATTCTTTTTTGCCTCAATCAAGTACAAAAAAGTACAATTTTTTTTTGAAACATTGTAGAGGCTATGGGGTTGTCTCAAAGTCTTCAACTAAATTTATAAAGTCTTCATAAATTTTACTTTGTGGGTATGAGTGTTTTGCCTGCATCTATGTACTGTAACCCATGTGTGTAGTACCTACAGAATACAGAAGACATCAGACCCTAGGGGTGGTAATTGTGAGCCAACTTTTGGGTGCTAGTAACTGAGCCCAGGTCCTCCTTAGCAAGAACAAGTGCTCTTAACCATTGAGTCATCTCTCCAGCTCATAAAAGCTACTTATTTTTTTTTCAATTAAATCGATTATTTTTGCAAAGTTCATAGGTCAAATAGAACACTCCCTATTTATTCTCAACTTCACTCCAGAGGCAGCCACCATAATGGGCTTATGTATTTGGCAGGCTTCTCTAAAGGCCATCTCCTTCATACCCAGGAAAACTACATTAAGCAAGTGTTACAAACTTTGACTTTATTTATTTATTTTGTGAGACTCAATGATAGCTTACATTGTTCCTGCTTTAGACTGCCCTGTTCAGGGATTATATGCACATACATATATACACTTGTGAGTTAAAAACTGTTAAGCATATCCAAGTCTTGTCTCTCCTTTATACATGTTTTACTTGTACTTTATTGCTGTGATACATGTGCTTTTGCCATGTCACTTTGGGCATGCGTTTACTTGCCAGTTCTACTTTACTGTCAAAACTTTTGCATATCTTATTTGGCATTTTGTCCAGCCTGTAGCATCTCTGTTTGCCTCTATTTCCCGGTCAATGTCCATGGGGAATGTGAAGGTCTGTGTTTCACCTGTCCCAGAGCTGCCTCCTATAGTGTTTTAGGCTTAGACTGTCAAGCTCAGTTGATTCAAATCCTGGTACTTGAATCCTCTCTAATGCCAGCAAGGCACCTTATAAGGCCTGGTGATTTATCCGTGTACTCCCATAGATGATTGTATCCAGTGAGGGCTATTGTGTGGACACCTCCCTGGTGAGTATTCACCTCTGAGGTAAGGGCCACTAGAAATATTCCTCATCCTGTGTTTAAAGATCTGTTGTAAGGTGTAATGTCTTCATATCCTGCTTGATATAACTTGCCCATATCACAGTATTGGGCAAGTTATTTGGCTCTCTGCTTCAGTTTCATCTGAATAATCAGGATAATACTATGACTTATAGCTGCCAATAAATTGTTGATATATGAAATTAAAAGTGCCTGCTTACATAGGAAATAATATGTAGATTACATAGAAAGTATTGGTGCACTATAATTATGTACTTAAGTAGTACATAATATAGTGTATTTTGAATATGCATCTATCATTGTCATTATTCTTGCTATTGTAATTTAATGGAAACAAAAACCCCTCAATGGAAAGAAGTCTCCAAGTATGACTGTTCTTGGGAAGAAAATGAAAAGTGAAAAGTGGACATGATGGATTATGCTCATAATCCCAGCACTTGGGAGGCAGGAGGATATCTGAGTTTGAGACCAATTTTAGCTAGAAACACAAGCTCAAAAACAAACCCTTCAACACAAAAGTAAAAAGCATTTGACTCACAATGTTTCCCCTTCAGTAATAAAATGTGAAATGCTGACATTTGGTCCTCAAGATAGTTGGGCAAGTTACCCAAGATGCACATATTACCATGTGTGCAACAGAAAGCAGGGTCCTCCAGAACCAACTGCAAAGATGCTGAACTGGAGTGACTTAAATTAAAGCAGAGGTGATTAGGAGCAGTTCCTCTAAGCAGAGGCTGGGTCACTGGCTTCTGACTTAAGGAAGTAAATCAAGAGAATCTTGAAAAAAGGCTTTCAGGGCTCACAACAACAGGAAAGATTGGCATGTGGTTTCCTTTCCTTCTTGCCCTTTAGATGCCACAACTTTCAGTTCTCCAGAGATACCCCATCTTCCTCCTCTAAGCAGTGATAAAGCCCCTTTTCTTCTCTATCCGCAGTGCTCTTTCACTTGTATGCTGAGCTATTTCTTCCATAATACCTTTTCTTTATGCAATGTCTTCCCACAAAAATTAAAATTCCTGTGTTCTGTGCTCCCCCAGGATTTGGAAAGTTAAATTCATTTGCCTGTATTTGGAACAGTCAGTTTACAGGGTGCTGTTCCAAATGGCAAATGATCAAACTTGCTTTTTTCTTTTGAAATAAGTTTAAGTAAGGAGGGACATGAAAGCTCATGGAGGCATAAAGCCTGGTAGGTCTTATGCTCATGGGCTTCAGAAGTTCTCATGCATGGACTGTTTTGAGTCCAGAAGAAAACAGTGATGACTCATCAGCTCAGCTCAGCCGCAGAATTTTATTCCTGGGAGGATTTCCTTAAATGTAGTCATCACTAGCACTATACTAGCTGCCAATGTGACTTTGTACCTTACCTCCACAATGGGGTACTTTTTTACCCAAGTGCTGTTTGCTGGATCTGGAATGGTTCTGCAATACCATTGAGGTCTGAGAGTAGAGAGGAAAGCAAGTGCCCTATAAATAAGAAAACAGTGATATTTGGTTAAATATGTGTCCAAACGCACAAGCTCACGCTGCAGTTATTTAGGGGAGAGGATTCTTTTGTACGGAAAGAGTAAAAGACAAACCCTTAAACATTGTTGAAGGCTGGATGACAGTAAGTTAGAGTTGCCACTTACAGTTGCTAAATAAACTAAAAAAAATCTTGCTCCACTTAGTTTTTAGTAATCTCTTACTATTTAGCCATGCATTCATTCATCAAGTAATATTAAATATGTTATCAGTACAGTAACATGCTGGGAATAGAAGAGCAAAGCTTGGGGATCTTACTAATGAGCTAATTAAAGTATAGAGTTTGTAATACAATATTTGTATTGAATGAATATTTTTTGTAATGAATATTTAAAATAGTATACAGAATAGTGTAATATCTTGAATATAATCATGTTTGAAATGCCAAGGAAAGGCCATTCTAGAGAAATATCTGTTAACACTGATTACAGTTTGATCAGAAGAAATAAAGAGGTCTTGTGATGAGAAAAAATGGAAGAAGCTTATAAATGCACTTGACAAACTATTGGACACTAAAGAATCCAAACCAGCCTGGCAGTGGTGAGACACAGCTTTAGTCTCAGAGGAGGCAGAAGCTGGAGGATCTCTGAGGCCTGCCTGATCTAAGGAGAAAGTTCCAGGATAGTTATGGTGGTTACACAGAGAAACCCTGTCTCAAAAAGACCCCCCCCATCTCAACCAATTTAAAGTATAGTTCAAAGACTGATAAACTTTGATGAAGAAAGACCAGCTATGATTTAACTGTTAGTGGTTCTCAACCTTAATGCTGCAGCCCTTACATACAGTTCCTCATGTTGTGACTTCAATCACAAAATTATTTTCATTGTTACATCATAACTAATTTTGCTATTGTTGTGAATCATAGTGTAAATATCCAATATGCAACTTCTGTGAAAGGGTTGCTTGACCCCAAACGGGGTCACAACCCACAGGTTGAGAACCAGTGTGTTAGATAGTTGGATATGCTATGTGGCAATGGTGTGTCATAGCTTGGATGTGATTCTCTTTGACTCCTAAGATAAACTTTATCAAAGTATTTTTAAAAATTAATTAGTCGGTTTTGTCTTTTTATGTATATGAATGTTTTGCCTGGTGCCCACAGAGGCCAGAAGAGGGCATTGGGTCCACTGGAACTAGAGTCACAGGCAGTTCTGAGCCACCATGTGGGTGCTAGGAAATGCACCATTTGCCCACGAGAAGAGCAGCTGGTGCTTTTTAACTGCAGAACCATGCATCCAGCCTTTTACAAAGTCTTTAAGGAGCTTTGCTTTGGTGATATTTTTAGGTAGACCTGCCAGACAAAGTGCACCGGTTGGCAAAATGCCAAGTTGGTTGTATTTGGCACCTATTACTTGGCAAACTGAAGAAAGCTTCACGTTGAAGAATGAACTGATTTTCCTTTGCAAAATAATGTTTTTAAAATTAATTTTAAAAGATTTAAATATTTTATATTGGTATGAGTTCACATGTGCTATCATGCATGTCAAATCAAAGACCAACTTGGGAGTGGGTTCTAGGGATCAGTGAATCTGGCATCAGACTTGGTGACAAGTTCCTTTACCCAATTTTTATATGATAGGTAGTTTTATAGAATAGATAGCTAAAATAAAGTCACCCATGGTTTGTTTCGAGATATAACCACCGTTTATGCTGTGTCGTGTATCTTTGGGGCAGAGTGTTCATCACCACTCGATATTCTGTTTCCTCTTTTTTCCTCAGTTCAGGATCTTGATTTGTCGGGATGACAGTGAATGCGGCTAAAAAAACATAAAGTTAGCCACTCTTTCCTCACTGAGTTTTGTCTATTGAGATATAACGGCAAGTATCATGTGCAGCCTTCAAACTCTTTAAAAGGAAGACTGACCCCTTTTCCTTTTCCCCCCCGATTGTATAATATAATAGCTATAGTTCCCACAGCCGTGAGATCACAGGGTGAAAAGTCACAGATGCTATAGGATGATATAGTGCAATATATAATCTAAATTAGGATAGTGCAATAGGAAATTTGTTCCTGTCACCTTTGGAGCTACCAAAGGAGCCCTTTACCCAGGTAAGAACCTGCTACACGCTTATATAGATTCAGGCCAGTAGAGTACACACAACCAATTACATAATGAGAGCTTGTTAGGAGGTTCTAACGGGAACATAACTACTCTTACCCTTGATAGAAGAACAGTCCTCGACCTAGGAAAGGAATTCTTGGTGTGTACCTGTGGGAAGCACTGCGTAGAGTGATGAGGTAGGAAGGAGACCTTTCTAGTTAGCCAGCTGAGCTGAGTCACACTAGTGCCTCATGTCAGATGTTGCAGGCAGATTGCCTGTTCCTCCTCAACTGTGTATGAAATATGTTTCTGTGTATGCATTATTTCAAAATGTAAAAATACTGTTTGCAAAATTTAAAAACTAATATAACATTACATCGAACTTCAATATCTTTAGTGGATAAACAGTAAGTTATTTGCATGTGGTTTAGTCTTGCTGAGTATAGCATGTAGGCTATTTGAAATATTTTCCTTATGGCCAGTATTTCAGTAAGCATATTTTCATTAACTATATGCATACATATATGATATATTTTGAATATATTTGGAATTTTAAAGTTAGAGGTAAACTTTTAAAAATTTGACATACATTTGGCCAAAAAGGTTGAATAAATTTATTCTATTACCAGTAATGTATCTACCTGACCCACAGCAGCAATAACTTATGTTTTTAAAATACATTTACAGGACTGGAGAGATGGCTCAGTGGGTACTAGTATGTGTTGTGCAGGCATGTGGATCTGGTTCACTTCCTTAGAACTCATAAAAATCAATTAAAATCAGTCATGTGTGCCTACAAGCCCAGTGTTGGGGAGAGGAAACAGGAGAATCCTGGGAGTTAGCTGGCCCACCAGCCTAGCTTAAATGTCAACTTTAAGAGTCAAGGAAAGACCCTGAAAGGGAATAAGGCTGACAGCATAAAGGAACACATCCAACATCCTTGCATGCCCTCCACATATCTATGCATGTTTTCCCGTATGTGCCTACATGTATGTATGTATACCACACACACACACACACATACTCAACACACGTATTAAATTAGGGGGGGGGAATAACCAACTCAACTCACTTTTGCCGGAAGGGACGAACTGAGAAAATGCCCACCGTGATGATAGCAATGCAAATGCTTGATGCCACAAATGCTTTCCAGTTGACTTTGCCTGGAAAGTAAGCAAATCTTGTTATGGTGTTATCTTCAGTAAATACTACAGAATCGTCTGGATCTTAACCCGCAGTGCATGGGTACTTGGGTTTAGGAACAAAGCCAATTCAGTTTTAACTATTCTGTTAGAAGGATACTATGGGGACCAAATTATATTTTCAAAGAGCCTACAAGGGCTTCCATAGCTCACAAGTGTGGAGAATATACAATGGTGTATAGAAGCTCACAGAGCTTCCTGGATGAGGGGTAGTATTTCTACTGCATTTTGAAGATGAGTTGGCACTGTCTTCATGCAGGCGGTGTGGTGGGAGGGCAGAATATAGCTCAACAGCAAGTGTGAAGTGCTTGCAAGGAAGTCAGTCGAGGGGGAAAGGGCCTGTGCCAGAGTCCACAGTGGACTGGCTGTCTGTAGCTTCTTACCCTGTGGACAAAATTCCCTTTGGTTTCCTTGGGGACTTTCCCCAGCAGCAGTCAGAGCTGTCATCCATAGGACGTACGTCACTCCGGGCTGCAGGCTGCTTACTGAAGATGAGTTTTGGGAGTGTCTGTATGGAATTTCTGAAAGGAAAACACAGCTGCGTAAGGGAAATAAGCAATGTGGGTACTCACCTATTTTTGTTGCATTGTTTTGTTTGAGAGGAGCATATTGCTGTTTTAACAGCATCAAAATTCATCAACACTTAGTACTCAATAGGCATGGTCATTTGTGAAGCCTTGTTACTATAGCAAACAGTTTTTTTCATGATATATTCTGAAAGAATTGTTAATTTTGCTTCAGAAATTATTTAGTTGAAGCAATTCTTTTGTTTTCTACATCTGTATTTTCATATATGTTTTTATAATTACTGAGATTAGTGTAAAACTATTTTTAAGATAATAGATTTTTTTCTTTTTTGAGACAGGGTTTCACTGGATAGGTCTGTCTGTCTGTCCTGGAACTCACTCTGTAGACCATGATGGACTTGAACTCCTAGAGATCCACCTGCCTCTGCCTCTTGAATACTAGGATTAAAGATGTGACACCACCTACCCTAAGATAATATATTTTTAAAAAATCTATAGCAATGAAACATTTACTTGAAGCTCTTTTACTTTGTTTTTTTTTTTATTTAAGAATTATTTAATTTTATGTGTATGGGTGTTTGCCTTCATGTATGACTGTGTACCAAGTGTGTGCGTGGTGCCCTCAGAGTGCAGAAGAGGGCACCAGCTATGAAACATGAGGTGCATACAGTGGTAAGCTGCCATGAGGGTGCTGAGAATTGAACCTGTATCCTCTGTAAGAGCAGCCCATGCTCTTAACTGCTGAGCCATCTTTCCAGCCTCTACTTGAAGATTTTAGACTGTGCTTTTGCTCTTCTTTTTGTTAGGCTCTGGTCTTGAACTCACAGTGCCTAGCTTCAGTTTGACATAAAACTATTAAAAACTAGAGACTTCCTTGGTTCCCAGGTGGCACTTCTTATGCTCTAACCCTCCTATAGCTTCTCTGCAAGTGAAGCTTGTGTGTGGACTGATGTACGGATGCTGCCTTTCTCCTGCAAGAAACACAGGTAGTTGTAGCCTGTAGTAAACGCAGTGTTCTGGAGTGGGTTTTAAGGTGCCCTCTCAACAACTGGGGAGGGATGCTGAGTGTGGCAGTGCCAGCCTGTATTTTCAGCATGTGGGAATCAGAGGAAGGCTGGAAAATCAAGGTCAGAGGGGTAGTCTGTAGCTTTGCTAAAAGTGTTTGCTTCCTATGCACAATCTCCTGGGTTTCATCCTCAGCATCTGCAAAGCCAGAAATTGAACAGCAGTAGCTGCTGGCTCACTCAAACAGCCTGTGCCTATGCTGAGGACAATAGTGGAAACTGTGTCTGACTTCATAAATGGGCCCATGGACAGTTAACAGATGCCTGTCTGCTGCTCTGAACACACAGCACCGCTTCAGAGAATTCACCATGTGACAGGAAGAACAGACTCTGCCCACTAGTCTGTTCCTACTTATTATGGGTAGGTAGTAAGAAGGAGCCCTGGAATGTTCCTTCTGCCCCACTGAAAAGGGCTAAGGTCTGAGCAGATCATTTCATAGGCACTATCAGAACAACCGCTGTATTTTACAACCTGTTGAGAAAAATACCTTGTGGAAAATTCCGAGGTCTGCTATAGCCTGGTGAAATAGCTTACACAGACTTAAGCAATATGATTAAGTGGATGTGTGTGGGGATTCCTATTTCTAAAGGAGGGGATTTAATTTTTTTTTAAGGAAGAGCTTCTGTTGGTTTTGCACCAGGGAGTCGGCTGTCCAACTGTGTGATATGTCCTGGGCTGGGGAAGTGAGATGAGACACTGGAGCAGAAAGGAGGAGATGTCTATAGTGTGATGGGCTGGTAATGTTCATTTGCACATAAATATTTGAAGAACAAAAATAGCAGCTCATGTGGGGAGGTGCAAGTGGTGGAGTCAGCAGTTTTGTTGGCAAAATAGGCTGAGTTGTGTAATGGGAGAAGTCAAGCAAGAAAGACTGGTCCTGCTGCCTCTGGGGTGATTCCCAGGAGAGATAAAGGGATCCCTTCAAGGCTCAGTGGGTTTCAGTGGGTGGAAATTTAAACGGGTAGTTCAGTGACAAATTCAGATGAATTTAGAAGGGTGTGATCACTGCTGACCGTCTGAAAGACTGTGGCAATGAAATCAAGAAGACCAGGCTGAACAGATGCACTGATACTGGGAATGAATTCAACCACTTGTTATTCAATGAATACCGTGCTTAGTAAGTGCACCTACTATCTCTCTGGCTGTGTTCTAGAAGAGAGAAATGGTGATCGAATTGCCATAGCTTGTGTCCTTCAATGCTTAGACAGTTTTGGACAAACAGCCAGGCAGTGTCATGTGTCTTGCAGAAGGGAGGTGTGCTTACCTAGCGCATATGGCCATGCCAGCAGATATTCAGACAACAGGCTGTGCACTGAGATGCTGGGGTACTTTTAACTCTTTACTCACTCACCTCACTTGTCCTTGTAGAGCTAGTGACAAAGAACTGATACTTCCACATATGTTTGTACTACTCTGTGGGACTGGGTACCTAAACCAAGCAGACAGGGTTGGGCCCCTTTCTCTTGGCCCTGGCAACATTCCTCCTGCTATCAGGTCCCTTTTCTTTCCAGATGTCTTGTTTCTTCTCGATCTTTCCCATCTAGAATGGATCTTGAATTTAGTGCTTTCTGGTTGCACTGCATTACTGTAGTGGTTATTTAGACTATTCTAGCTCCCGGCACACTGAAGGCTCTGAGGATAAGGAATGGGGCTTACTCACCAATATGTGCTTACTGGATTAAGTGGGAATATAATCTAGACTAGTAAAAATCAGACTGTGAATCTTGCCCTTTAGCTTATTTAAAAATAGCGCTGTGTAGGCTCTAGAAGCAACGAATCTGTGACAAAATGTAGTAGGTTATTTTCAACATCTACCGCAACAGCTACAAGGACCAACTAACCACATTGATCTCTGTGGCTGTAAATAGGCATTGCTTTAAATGTTGCTAAACGGAAAATAATTTTGGGGGCAAATATAACAGGAAGGATCCCAAATAGCCCATGAAAAGGCCAGTTGATTCGCCAGTCTTTAGAAGGCCTCTTAGAACAGTCTTATCCTGATGGGCCTGGTGACAGATAAGCTAGCAAATGATGGAAAGTCGACAGAGCTGTTAATTAAGAATGAGTCAACTCACAGACAGAGGTGGAAAGATCATTGAAAGTGCAGGTCCAAATAGAAAAAGACCCAAGCACGTTTTTGTGTGTGCACTAATTTCTTCCCTGGAGGAATATATACAGAGCAGCCCAATATATTTTATTTTTTCTCAAAACTAATTATAAAAATTAACAGTGAGAAGCATAACTGAGGGAAACGTCAAGAGAGAAGACAACGTCTCTCAAGGTTCCTAGGCAAAAAGCTCTCTTGCATTAATGCTCTGGAGCCTGCCACTCAAGCAGTCTTGCATTCTTGAGCCCATAACTTGAGCCAAGGAAGGGATGAAAATGCCCCTTCTTCCTATAATTGCTCCTGAAACAGAGAAGGCCAAGATACAACAACAAATAAAAACAAAACGGCTCTGATGAGATCAAAGAACTGATGATCAGATCTTACAAGTGATTAGTTCCATGAAGCAATGATTCATGAAAACATTTGAGATAATGCTCCAGTCAGAATTGATTGTAATCATTTTGCCTTTTCAGCCAAAAAACAATTATAGTTCATAAAGAATTATCTAAACTGTGCTGTATTTTATCCATTCCAAGAAGAAAATAATATGATGGTAAATGCAAACATGAAGAGTTAAACAATATCTAAGTGTTTTGGAATTCAAGGCTTTATATAATTAGTATTGAAGTGCCTTTGCTGTTTGTTTCATTAAATTGCCAGCTCTGCTTTTAGAATCAATGCCATTTTAATCCTAACTGTCTTGAGTGTCATATCCTCTTATTTTTTTAAGAACTCCTGCTAAACCATAAGTTTTGGATTGCAAAGCTGTCTTTATGTGTTTGTCCACCAGTTTAACAAAACCCACAAGTGTTACTCTTTGTAATTTGTTTTGACAAATTACATCTCACTGTTTACTATGTAGCCCAGGCCTGCTTCTTGCCTTAGCCCTCCTAGTTTGGTCTTTGTGAGCAGGCACTATGAGAGCCTGGCCCATTCACTTCATATCTGTATCTTTAACAGTTTCCTTAGCGTGTAACACATATTCAATAATTTTGCATGCGTGCATATGGGTGTCTATTTTTCATAGTTCAACTCATTTCACAAGTGCTGACTTAGTACTAGCACTTGTGTGTAGTGAGGACATGCTCAGTCTGTGCTTTCCCAGCGTCTAAACAGGAGGCCCCTCAGTACTTGGTTTTCACACATACCATAGAGCTTAGGCTGTGCAGCAGAGTCTCGTTCCTTCCAGTATATTCTGTAATTGAGGATGCAGCCCATTTGTTCCTGGGCTGGGATGTGGGACCAGGAAATAAAAAGGCTCTTTCTTTTCTCTGTGACGGCAATGATATGAGGGCCTGTCAAAGGTGCTGAGGAGAAGGACACAAGAGGTTTCTGTCACCCTCCAAATCTAAGCCACTAAACAAGAAGCTTGAGGAAAGATCCTAAGGTTCACCTTTGTGCCTGGAGTCACCCAGGGTGGAGCTGCAACCTCCTTGGTCCTCTGACAGTGCGTGCACCTGAATTTCATAACAGAAGTAGGGATTGATGTTCTCTGCACAGGAAAGGGAGTCGTGTTAATAACCACATCCAAATCATTTTTAGCTTTTCTTAGTTTGATGAAAGAGCAGTCTGGACTGAGAATAAAGGGATGGACTAGGTTACAGTTTCCCAGCATCTTATTTTCTATTATTAGGTATCACTTCCAAGAAATGTAGGGATTTTATTTATTTATTTTTGATAAATTCTATCTAGGTAGCCCATACTGGTTTCAAATTCATAGCAATCCTTCTGCCTCAACCTTCTTAGGCCAAGAGTTCAGACATACATTACTATGCTTAGTTTCTTCATTTAAGAGAACAGAGTAATTGTTCTTAAAAAGGAGATAAAGACCTTTAAGAAGCTTTGATGAAGATTTAAACATATCCATATAGATACAAGCATGCAGAATATTGGATTCTACAAATGAGTCCCTTGTTTATATGAAGCCGCTGGAGTTTTGCAGATATAGCACCTCAGGGGCTCTCCTATGGCTTACTGGTGTCCCATACTCTTATAATTGACTAGGACTTCATGTCTTTTTGGGCTGCAGAGGAATCTTACCTCACACAGTTATTGCCTAAATTGTGTGTGTGTGTGTGTGTGTGTTACATGAAAGTCCATTAAATCATCCCACAAGAGAGCCTGATAAGATCAGATTTACATGAGAGTGGGCACCAACTTGAGCTCATAAACCAGAGAAAAGTGGAGAACACACTTGCCACCTTAGTCTGCAGAGTGCCATGGGATCCTTTGGAAGGGTCTGGTAAGTAAGTGGTTCTTATTTCCAGTGTTTGGTTAACTTTCCTGTCCCATGACTTGGGAAGAGCCAACCAACCCACTGTGCTGTGGAGATCTGGGAGTTCCTGATGAGCCTTGCAAAGCAAAATGTGAGCGAGGGCACTGCTCACAATCGAAAACTGTGGGTTTTCTTCCTCTGAACTGCTTGCCCTCAGTCAAGGAGGAAAGATACATGGCTGTGTGTCTTCATTGACATTTTCCCTTTCAAGAAGAGCAAAGCCTTCCTAGCAAACATTTTTCCTGATTCTGACCTTAAGGAGATACATTTTTTTGATTATTTTGTATGAACACCACCCCTCAGGGGTATCTGCTCCCCACCTTAAGAACCTTCAGTGGAAGAAGTCCACACTTGGAAGACTCTCATTTCCTTTGCAATGGGACCAATTTCCATGCTCCTTTCATGTCACTATGCTGACTTTATATTCACAACACCCTTGGGCAGAGACCTTGTCTCTGTTTATAAGCTATTTTACGGACTTTATTCGCCCTGCAGATATTTAGTTTTACCTCAGGTGTGGGAGAAAGTAGGCATCTCTTCCACAAATAATGTAACTGAGAATCATTTTATACACACCAAGACAAGCATGTGGGAGAGGGACACAGCTACTCTAGGTCTCACAGAGGAACTTCCAGACACTGAGATATGGTGGGTAGACAGAATGGGCTGATAGTCTCTACCTCCGCCATTTCACAGTCCAGGAATCAGGTTTATTCTGACTCATTCCAGATCTTCTGATGCTGTCCATACAGCCAGAGTCAGAAAAAGCTTGTAAGGGGAATAACGTCTGAATTTGTGGTAAGTAGCAATTAGTGAATTTTTCAGTTCAGTAGAAAGTAATAGCAAACCAAATATTTCCAAGTGGCAGAACAATCTTAATGGGTTATTTTGCAACTTTATTCTGTTGTTTTTATTCAAATGCATTATTCAGAAATGATTCTGAATATTTNTTTTTTTCCAAGACAAGGTTTTTCTGTAGCTTTGATGCCTCTCCTGGAACTAGCTCTTGTAGACTAGGCTGGCCTCGAACTCACAGAGATCCGCCTGCCTCTGCCTCCCAAGTGCACACCTTTAATCCCAGCACTCGAGATGAATCTTGATATTACCTCCCAGTTTAGGCACTGCTTCCTGTCCATGGGTCATTTGATTTGATGGATATGATAGGCCCTGAGGGAACTGGCATCACAGCAGAGTCTCTGGCTACTCGAGAGAAACTAGCATCACTGCAGAGCCTCCAACTATCCCAGAAGCAAGCAATAAAGTTACTCTCAAATCTGATGCTACCTTCTAGAGCGTGATAATGAATGCATCCTTCAATTCCACCACTCAGCAGGCAGAGGCAGTAGGATCTCTGTGAGTTCTAAGCCAGTCAGAACTAGAGTGAGACCCTGTTTCAAACAACAACCAGAATTAATGCCTTCTTTTCTTATCATTTCCTTTCAGGGTTTGAATCTTGCTTTCCCAAGCAACCAAGGAAATGCACATATACTTTTGGATGTATAGATAATGAAACCAGCAAAAATAATCAAAAAGCTCTTCTTATAGCTTATAAATTTCTCTTCTATGAGATAAATGGTTTCCAAATGAAAAGTTCTAGATTCTCAGTGGCTTGCTCTTTTTTCTCTGGGTGCTCACTGTATGCAGCTTTGTATACCGGTAGAAGTCTTGGCAGGCAGGCCATATAAGAAGCACCCAGTCAAGGACCAGCTCATATGTTATTGTATAATACAATATTTTTCTTCAAGTAAACCTTATTAAGCAGGTTTTATATTCATCCCTAGAGAGGAGTAATGATGTTCATGGTGGAACAACAATGTAGTTTAATGTTTTGAACTTGTAAATCTATTCAGTTCTTATTTCTGACACATTTAGTAACAATTCCTTAGAAGCTAAATTATTTAGTATTTGAAATATGCTGAACTCTGTTCAGAGCATTTTCCATATATTAATACAGTCAGTCCTCACAGCCACTCAAATGAGGAAAGAGGAGCATAGCAGAAATCTGCCTAAGTTCTCCCAACTGTTAGGGAAGGAGCAGGGAGTCAGGCCTGGGTAGGCTGTCTATATAGCCAGACCATGAACCACAATACCGAACTTACATTTAAATTGACATTAGGTTCTCTCTAGTCCTTTTAATGTGCTTTCAGATACTTTTTCTCACTTTATTGCAACCCCTGACAGAAACGTCACTTAGGAATAGAGATCCCAATTTTCATATAATAGTTTAAATGACAAATAGCAGGATTGGGAATGAGGGTCTCCTAGTTTTGCCATCTGTATGATGGGTTTAAAATAATGCCTCAGAAGCAATTATGTATTTTATAATTTCAGAATTTTCTTATCATATCTTATCTTGCATAAAAATAATGACTCAGTGCACAAAATTGTTTTGAGTTAAGTGACTTTACAAAGATAAATGTATCTTTGACAAGTTAGGTTTCTGCCATACTTAGTTGGTTCAATTATTCTTTCATCTTATTGGGCATGGTGCTAGGGGACATAATTCTCCCATAAACATAAGCCTTCTTCAGTCACTTGGTCCTCAAGTTAGTCCCAAGGGCTGCCTTTTTTTTTTTTTGTTTTTTTTGTTTTTTTTTCAAGACAAGGTCTCACTATGTAACTCTTGCTGTTCTTGAGCTCATTATGTAGACCAGTCTGGCCCTGAACTCCAGAGATTCACCTGTCTCTGTCTCCCAAGTTCTGGAATTAAAGGCATGCACCACCCCATCTGGCTTACAGGGCAGACTTGATGGACTCTAGGTTCCCACTGTTTAGGATTCTAGTATAACATGTAACCCTCTGTAATTGAAGACCAGATAGCTTTGTCTCCCCAAATATCTTAGGGCTTTTACTACTGTAATATAACAACACGTCCAAAGGCAGCCTGGAGAGGAAAAGGCTTATTCCATCTCATACTTGTAGTCTGCCATCCAAGGAAGTCAGGGCAGGACTCATGGTGTGGTTCTAGAAGCAGTATCTGAGCCATGGAAAAGTGCTGCTCACTGGCTTGCTCCCTACAGCTTGCTCAGTCTGCTTTCTTATAGCATGAACCACCCGCCCAGAGGTGCCACATCAATTATTAAGACAAGACCCCACAGTTTTGCCTGCAGGCCAGTCTTAGGGAGGCATTTTCTCAATTATGATTCCTTCTTTATCTATTCCCAGACAGCTCTAACTTGTTAACACGTTGACATAAAACTAGACAAACAAATGGGAACTTAGTGGCTCTCTAGAAGAAATGTGAGCAGCGAGGTACCTGAAATCAGAGCAGTTGTGTTGTAGGGAGGGATCCGTAGCCAGTGTGGGGGAAAGCTCACATTCCTTCCTGGTTCTAGAGCCCTCCATTCCACTATGTACTCTCGAACAGCAGAGACAGCTTTCCCCGGAGGCTGCCAGGTCACCACAATGTTGTCCATGTTCTCTGACTTAGCAGATACCCAGGAAGGAGCCAGCAACCCTTTGGAGGTGAGGAGGAGGAAGGACAAAATCAGAACGGATAAAGATAGAAATGGGAACTGGAGAGACATTGCAGTCAGTCAAGTGTTTGAGGATGCTAATTCAATCACCATAACCCACTGGGGAAAAGCCAGGTGTGGCTGGTATGGTGCTGCACACTTGTACGCCCAATCCTGAGGAAGTGGAGACAGGAAGATTCCTGAGACGTCCAGCCAGTCTAACCAGCCTACCTAGTAAGTGAGAGTTTTTTTTTAACAACAAAAAGCAAGATAGATCGTGCTTAAGGAATAACACCTACCTAAGGTTATCCTGTGGCTACCTGTGCACACATGCATCTGCTCATACATGAACACACACACACACACACACACACACACACACACACACACACGCTCTAAAATAAGACACGACAGCATATCCCAGCTAAGTTCTAGAAATTATCAGTCTCTCTTTAGGGACTTCCAGGTTAAGGTTTAAGTTCATGTTTTTCAGTCCACGGAGGATTAGCCTCAGCAGCTTGTTCTATAATCCAGAGTAGCTTTCTTTGTGGATTTATTTCTATTTGTATTTACTTACTGAATTCCCTCAAAGTGCTCACTCTGTTAAATGTAACATACACCCTTTTAATGACCGCCCATTTGTCTCCTTAGACATAAATGTATCGCTGAGAAGTAGTGTGACCCTTTGCTTGTGTCATATTCTCACAAAACACACCATGTTTTGTCAAACCTTTTCACTTAGTTTTGTTTTTGGAATGGATTCATTCTCCTTCTTCATGTAAACCTAGCCCACTCCTTCCCACTTCTGCTAAGCCCTTTTCTCCTCTGCTCTCCAGTGACCAGAAGGAGTGTCCTGACACAAGGACACAGTGACACTACAGCACCTCTGTGCATGTGCAAGACCATCCAGGATGTACACGCATAGGACTGCTTGGCTAGGGAGTGTCCCTCTGACTGATCTCCAAAACAGATGGATAAGACGGGGGTGTAGCCCTTGCCCAGCCTGAGCAAGAAACTGTACACACGCACAGAAGGTAAACAATGAAAGAGCACGTTGACACTTCACCAAGGGTAGCTAGCATGAGTGCTCTCACCTCACCTACACTTTCTGTTTCCCTTTCTGCTTATCAATTTGATACATATAAAATCATACGTGATTAGAGATTTGACTTTCATGAGTCCAAACTACTCAATGACTTTCCTTCTGTGGCTATTAGTAGACTTGGCTCATTTTTTCGTGTGTTTCTGCCTTTTTCTGATCTGCAAGTAGCTTTGATGAATCTAATTACTATCCAGTTTTCTACTCTTAATGCAGTCAGTTAGTTATCTGACAACTTTGTTATCTAAAGTGGTACTGGTAAATTTACCACAGTTTTGATTCTGAGTCTTGTTTGTAAATTTCCACCACGCTGGGACTATGAACACATTCAACTACATTGTCTTCTATTGGCCTTTACTTTTGCTTTTTATGCTTAGGGTTTCCGTCCAAAGTATAAGCTAGAAAGGTTATTTTTTAAGAAAGGAAATGCTATTTATTTCTGTTTTCCAGGGATGGTGTGTCTGCATTGTAAACTGTGCAGACATATCCCACCTGCTAATCCTTAGATATTCACCTTTTCTTTCAATTGTGGGGGCAATGACTTCCCTGGGGTTTTACTTCTCTCATGAGTTGAAGAAGAATTGACTAATGGGAAGCGTAAATATGATCAAAGTACATGGAAAACATATATGAAAATATCATAATGAAACTTATAAATGCACAGTAATAAAAATAATAGAAAAATTCTTCTTAAGTAGAAATGAAAGGTATTTTATGCTAGCATTCCAATTAATAGTGGAAATATTACTAGCTAGAAAAAAGCCTTCATACCCTAAGAATGAAACATTTAATTGAAGAATAATAGAAAATTATAAAGCAAAAAGCTCTTAGTGACAACAAAAGAAGTTTCCTATGGGGACTGGAGAGATGACTCAGTGGTTAAGAGCATTGCCTGCTCTTCCAAAGGTCCTGAGTTCAATTACCAGCAACCACATGGTGGCTCACAACCATCTGTAATAAGGTCTGGTGCCCTCTTCTGGCCTTCGGCATACACACAGATAGACTATTGTATACATAATAAATAATAAATAAATATATAAAAAAAGAAGTTTCCTATGTACAGACATTTATTTTTATCTGCAGTGGGTTGGGAGGAGGGAAGGAGGAGGACATTGTTGCCTTGTTAGTTTGTCTCTTTTTTACATGTTTTAGGACAGAGTAATCATTTTTAAATGCTGTATATGCTTACCTGAAAGTTGGAACTATTGGCACTAATTTTTAAAATATATCTATATAGATTTAAATAGCCAATAATTTATTTATATTGTGTGTCTCTATTCACAAGTGATTAAACATTAATCCTTCCTTTACTGTCTTTATTTACTTTTATTAATAAAATAAAATTGATCATAAAGCAATTGATTCCATAAAATGGATTGGACAGATTTCCTTATTTTCTATTTTCTACATGAATTGAATAAAATAAGGTTATGTATTTTTTCAAGGTTCAATTGTAAAGTAGTTTGTGCCTGGGCATTATTAAAAAAGCATAGAGGTTGGGGTAAGCTAGCTCTAGCTTTCAGAATGTTATTATGACTGCCTTTATTTTTGTGCGTGTTTTATTTTGTATGTGTGTGTGTACTTACACGCAAGTGTCAAAGCATATGTGTGGAGGTCAGAGGACACCCTGAGGAGTTGGTTCTCCCCTTTCACCATAATGGCCTCGGGGCTAGAACTCAAGTCCTCAGGCCTGGCAGTTTCCTTTCCTGCAACTCATCTCATCAGCCCGAGGATATTGTTTTAGAGTAAAATTTATTCATGCCATAAATATTGAGTGCTACAATTTGCGAGATCATTTATCTGAGGGTGTCTTTTTCATCTCTGCTTTATCTGGAATTTGTTAAGCAAATCAGCTTGCATCTTGCAGAGTCCTCCAGCCTCTGGGTCATTATTCTTACCAGCACCAGTCTGTGATTCCTTCTCTAGGATGTTCACCAGACTGCGTC